GGGCCATGCTCGGCGCTTTGGGCTGTGTTTTCCCCGAACTCTTGTCTCGTAACGGAGACATGTTCGGAGAAGCTGTTTGGTTCAAGGCCGGGGCCCAAATCTTCAGTGAGGGTGGGCTAGACTACTTGGGAAACCCAAGCTTAGTCCATGCCCAAAGCATTTTGGCAATTTGGGCCACACAAGTTATCTTGATGGGTGCTGTAGAAGGCTACAGAATTGCCGGTGGGCCTCTTGGTGAGGTGACAGACCCATTGTACCCAGGTGGGAGCTTTGACCCATTAGGCCTTGCAGAAGATCCAGAAGCTTGTGCTGAGCTGAAGGTGAAGGAGCTGAAGAATGGAAGACTGGCCATGTTATCCATGTTTGGGTTCTTTGTGCAGGCCATTGTTACAGGAAAGGGACCAGAGAACTTAGCTGACCACTTGGCTGATCCTGTTAACAACAATGCTTGGTCATACTCATACGCCACAAACTTTGTTCCTGGAAAGTGAGGTGCATGGAGAACTTGAGAGAGAAGCGTTTTTACAAATTGTGAGGGCCATTGTTTTGAATGGGATTTCTCTTAAGTGTTCTTTTTTCTTTTTTTTCTGATTAAATTTGGTGGTCAATGCAGAGGAATATAAGAACAAATCTGATAAATGTTCTTTGAGTATACATTTGTATGGGAATTTTTCACCTTACTTCAAAAACTCAATGTTCTTAGTTTCCGACAACTTGATGAATCAACATTGTGAATTGCAAGAAATGAGGAAAGCCTCGTAATTGGCATTTGTTTTCACCAATTCATACCAAAAAAATGGTGATAAATAAGTATAGAAAGTAAAAGGCCATAAATAAAAATTGCACCACCTTCACAGCCAATCCATCTTGTCATGAAAATGCAATATCAGTGTGTGATGGAGTTTACTACAAGTGAAACTCAATTAAATAAATAAAAACAAGAATGTTATGGAATTACTTAAGAGATCTTTTAAAATCTTAAAATAGACTTTCATCTTTCGATGTGAGATACTCTCAACACGCCCCCTCACGTGTCACGTCTTTAGTGCTTAATCAGTGAACAATTCTTATTGGGGAACATGTGGGATTGTTTGGCCTGGCACATGAATAGCCTATCATGATATTATGTTAGAATTTGAACTTTCAATCAACCAAAAATCAATTAGTAATGAATGAAGAGGCCCAACATCTTTTAAACTCTTAAGCTAGACTTCCGTCCTCTTCAATATGAAATGCCCTCAACATTTTGTAGCACCCTCCTCCATGGTAAGAGGAGCAGCTGTAGTCTCATATTGCATCTAAACTGACCACTCTTCGATTAGATCACATAATAAAAGAACTAATTTTCTCTACAATTTCAATTAGACATAATCATGTTAAAATAGAGTTGCCCTAAATTATTCATTTGAGTACTCAGATTTTTCCTCTCTCATCACCCTCATCCAAAAGTGTACGTGGGCAAATTCCATTGGCCAAAGATTGAAGTAATATAAAATATCCAAGCTTGATTTTTCTCATCTCTTTTTTATTTTTATTTTTATTTTCTGGAGAAAAGCTAGTGGAGCATATCAAGCCAACAGGAAATTAAGAAAGTGTGCGTGGACAAAATTCTAGTAGTGGCTAGAAATCAAAGCATATAATTTCCAAATTTGATACTAATTTTTCTTTCTGTTTTGGGAAGTAATAAAACTAGTGGAGCATATCAAGCCAACTGGAAGGGTAGAGATTTTCAAACTTGGTCTTCTCCAATGAGAAAAGAGATGAAGATATCAGAAAGATAAGTACCCTTTGAACCATACCTATACAAATACCCACCAACGTCTCTTCTTCCCAAAGAAAATAAGCACTCGCCCCTCTCACATTGTCTAAGAGACTGAAGATTTTCACAAATAATACACTTTCATTTTTCCTCAAATGGCTTCTTCAACAATGGCTCTCTCCTCCCCTTCTCTTGCTGGCCAAGCTGTCAAGCTCGGTTCCTCTGTTTCTAACATTGTTGGTGAGGGCCGAGTTACCATGCGCAAAACCGCATCCAAGTCCAAAAATGTTTCATCCGGCAGCCCGTGGTACGGCCCGGACCGTGTCAAATACTTGGGCCCGTTCTCTGGCGAGGCCCCTTCTTACCTCACTGGGGAATTCCCCGGCGATTACGGTTGGGACACTGCTGGGCTCTCAGCTGACCCAGAAACCTTTGCCAAGAACCGTGAGCTCGAGGTCATCCACTCAAGATGGGCCATGCTCGGTGCTCTGGGCTGCGTTTTCCCCGAACTCTTGTCCCGCAACGGAGTCAAGTTTGGAGAAGCTGTTTGGTTCAAGGCCGGGGCCCAAATCTTCAGTGAGGGTGGGCTAGACTACTTGGGAAACCCAAGCTTAGTCCATGCCCAAAGCATTTTGGCAATTTGGGCTACACAAGTTATCTTGATGGGTGCAGTTGAAGGTTACAGAATTGCTGGTGGGCCTCTTGGTGAGGTGACGGACCCATTGTACCCAGGTGGGAGCTTTGACCCATTAGGTCTTGCAGAAGATCCAGAAGCTTTTGCTGAGCTGAAGGTGAAGGAGCTGAAGAATGGAAGACTAGCCATGTTTTCTATGTTTGGGTTCTTTGTGCAGGCCATTGTCACAGGGAAGGGACCAATCGAGAACTTGGCTGACCACTTGGCTGACCCTGTTAACAACAATGCCTGGGCATACGCCACAAACTTTGTTCCTGGCAAGTGAGCCTGAGATTGAGAGAGAAGTGTGCTTTTCCTAATGGTTTTGGCAATTGTGCTTAATTATGTTGATGAAATTGGATTAGACTGTAATTCTAGCGGTCATCAAGATCTGAAAGGATAAGTTATCACCTTGCTGTAGATTACTTCTCATTTAATCTACTTGTTGTTTTGTTGACAAGTTATAGTAAACTCAAGGGAGTACACATTAGTAAGGATTAAAATGATATGTGACATATTATGATCAACAAAGTATATATTAATGTTACCAATGACTATTTGGACTAATCACATGTAGTATTTTTTTCAAAAGTAAATCTCATTGACGACAATTGTATTTGTAGTATAAATATCATTTTTATATAGGGAAATCGAACGTAGACATAGAAGTGACATGTGGATAGGTGCAGGGGCGGAGCCATGTAGGGAACAATATATTAGGTTCTTTTTGTCTACAAATTAACCATCAAACTTCTTAATCACTCTTCTACTTTCAATTAAATCTACTAGGTTATGTTATGATATTTGCACTAAAAACTCCTAATTTTTTTCCTTCTCTTTCTCTTCCTCTTTTGTTTAACTTAAGCTTAAGCTTTATGATTTTTTTCCCTTCCTTTTTACATGTCACTTTAATATTGGGATTTATGAATTTTTTTTGTATTTATTCTTTCTCTTGGAATATAAATTATTAACTTATGAGTCTTTAATAGTGTAGATGATGAGATTAATATTCAATCATTTTATAATATGAAATTAAGGACAATTATGATTGTAATGAACGAAGAAATTATTAATCAATAAGAAATGATATTATGAAGTGAGCTAAACCGAGTAATTAGTATCGTATTAACTTATTAACCGGTTAGCGCTTGAGTGTTCCTATTTGAATTATTTTATAAAATTTTGTGAAGAGCCCCCTCTAATGCAAAATCCTAACTCCGCCACTAGATAGTTGAATAATAATATTATTAACTACTTGACTTACAAACTCTCTGTCTAAATAAATAGTTATGCTACGATTGGCTTTGTTATTAGAGATGATAATGCTCATGCTGTGCTAGCTGGTGCTAAGAAGATTGGTCGCAATTCTATTATTGTGGCAGAATGTTTGGCGCTTAGAGATGGCTTGGCTTATGATGTTTCCAAGGGTTGGTCCAAACTCTTAGTTCAAGGAGATTCTAAACTTGTCATTGACTCAGTTTTGAAGAGATGCTCGACTTCCTCATGCATTAACTAGCTTGTCCAAGATATTCTACATCTCACAACATTCTGTGATCAAGTCTCCTTCTCTCATGTCTTTCATGAATTCAATGCGGTTGCGGATGCTCTTGCTTCCCTTGGTCATTCGCTTTCGCCCTTGAAGCTGTGGAAGAGTGGTCTCCCTCTTTCTGTTGGTTCTTCTTTTTATTTGGACCTATTTGGCCCTGCGTGCCCTAAAGGGTCGCGTATTTGTTAGTTTCCTTTCTCACATTTAAAAAAAAAAAAAAAAAAGGTTATGTTAGTGGACATTTTAGGTTGGATTAAATATACGTGAATGTTAGTAGGGTATAGCTCAGTTAGTAGCTCTTCCACCTCCATCCATGCAGGCAAAGGTTCGAAATCTCCAAATACCTAATGAATATTTGTGTAAACTCTCCTCCCCAATAACTTGAACCCAAAAAATATATATGTGAGGGAGGGTGAGAATTTGTCCATCTGAAAGGGAAAAGGGAAGGGCCGGCCATGACATAAAGAGTAGTAACAACAAACAATTGAAAAGTATAGGAATTAGAGGGAGAGTGTCTTGTCATTTCTGGATTCACGTGAAGAACTATGGTGGAGAACAACACCGTCTGTTGTTACAAACTATCATCCTTAGATTCTCTCTCTCATCAAAAGAGTATGTGGCCATTTTATATTGGCTGCAGAGATCAACGGATATATTTTCTTCTTCCTGTTTACATGTATAATACTAGTGGAACACATCAAGCCACCTGGAAATGAAAAAGTCTCACCACCACAAACAGTACTGACTAAATTCAATTGGCTTAGAGCTCATTGGAAGCATGTAATAATATCAAAAACAGATTTTTAATTTTTCCTTTTTTTTTCTGTTGTTTGGAAGTAAAGTAGTGGAGCATATCAAGCCAACTGGAAAAGCATCAAAGCTCAAACGAAGAGATCCGTCTTGAAAATCCTTTGAACATCATTTTCACCAATAAGAAAAGAGATGGAGATATCACAAAGATAAGGACCCCTATCTCTCCTGTTTCGCAAAAAAAGAAGATAAGGACCCCATGCACCCTCAAACCTATACATACACCCACCAACGTCTCTACCAACAACAACAACAACGTCTCTACCACATTGTCTAAGAGAGACTGAAATACTTCCATTTTTATCAAATGGCTTCTTCAACAATGGCTCTCTCCTCCCCTTCTCTTGCTGGCCAAGCTGTCAACCTTAGTCCCTCTGCATCTAACCTTCTTGGTGAGGGCCGAGTCACCATGCGCAAAACCGCAGCCAAGTCCAAAAAAAATGTATCATCCGGTAGCCCGTGGTATGGCCCTGACCGTGCTAAATACTTGGGCCCATTCTCCGGTGAGTCCCCTTCTTACCTCACTGGAGAATTCCCTGGCGATTACGGTTGGGACACTGCTGGGCTCTCAGCTGACCCAGAGACCTTTGCCAAGAACCGTGAGCTTGAAGTTATCCATTCAAGATGGGCCATGCTCGGTGCTCTGGGCTGCGTTTTCCCCGAACTCTTGTCTCGTAACGGGGTCAAGTTCGGTGAGGCTGTATGGTTCAAGGCTGGAGCCCAGATATTCAGTGAGGGTGGGCTAGACTACTTGGGAAACCCAAGCTTAGTCCATGCCCAAAGCATTTTGGCTATCTGGGCCACACAAGTTATCTTGATGGGCGCAGTGGAAGGTTACAGAGTTGCAGGTGGGCCTCTCGGGGAGATCACTGACCCATTATACCCAGGAGGGAGCTTTGACCCATTGGGTCTTGCTGAGGATCCAGAGGCTTTCGCTGAGCTGAAGGTGAAGGAGCTGAAGAATGGAAGACTGGCCATGTTTTCCATGTTTGGTTTCTTTGTGCAGGCCATTGTTACAGGAAAGGGACCAATTGAGAACTTGGCTGACCACTTGGCTGACCCTGTTAACAACAACGCTTGGTCATATGCCACAAACTTTGTTCCTGGAAAGTGAGGCTGAGAACTTGAGAGAGAGAAGCAGATTTGTAACAATTATTGTTGTGAAACAGGATTTCTGTTAATGTGGTTAATTTTATGAAACTTACTTGGGTGTTGTCAGCAGTGCAAAAGAATACATCAACAATTTCTTGGAGTAAAAATTTGCATGTGAATAGATTCACCTTACTTATAAAGCTCAATTTGCTTACATTACTGAACTGAATCAGAATTATGATGCACTGCAAGAAATGGGAAAAACCTCGTTGGCATTTGTTTTCATCCAGAAAATGCTGATAAAACTCATCTTGTCATGGAAAAAAGAAAAGCAAGGACTGGAATTTAGAGGCAAAGCAAAGGTGCTAATCGCATTGGAGAAGAGAGAGGACACTTCAAAAATCAACCCAACTGACATGCATATGACTCATGAGCATCTATGTAAGGGAAAGTAACAGGGAGAAGGCAGCAGATGAAGCAACAGACCAAATTCTGCAGCAGTCTGCAGAACTTCAGATGTCCAATTATCTGCATTGTTTTATTTCTGTAGTTTCTAATAATGAAGATTATAGAACTTCCATTAAATTAAGAGTGTCATATCTCATACAATACAACCATCACATTCATTCTAAGATGTAACTTGATTTCGATTTTCCGAATCTGTAAAGGCAAATGCTACATTGTGCATAAAATGTGAGAGAAACTAAATTTGCTCTACATCAATCCATGTGCAAAGCTGCTAGATTCATATTATTATTTTTAAATGAAGTGGCTTAAAATTTACTCAATTTAGCTGAAAAGGGAACCAAAGAAGTAGGAGAGAAAGAGCTCGAATGCCTCAGTCTGAGCTTGAATGATTGGATTCATAATGGCAAAGCAAACATTTTTGTTTCAAGTGCAAGCTATCACAGGATGAATGATTTAGCAGAAAATGGTGAGTAGAAGATATAACCTTCCCTTATTCTAGATAGCATTCAAGATGCAAACAAAGCTAAATTATAAGAAATGCACATGCAAACATATGATTCATACAGTTAATCCTACACTTCAAAATTCCGTGTACTTTTTAATTTACCCAAAGTTGCATAAAGTTAGGGCAACTTTTATTATCATGTTACGTGGCCTTTCATTATAGTAAAGTGTAAAATAGATATATGATTATGTTCCATGATAAAATAAAGAAGACCAAGGCATGGCATGGATAATGGGAGGGATGTGGGAGACAGGTTAATAAAAAAAACACTTGGAATATTTTTAGAAGGCCTCGTGCAAGCATCCAAGAAATGAGCATCTTATTGGAATGTAACAGGGAGGGACAGATATGGAAGAAAGCAGCAAATTGAGTATTAAAAAACTGAGAGACACTTTCATGGCTACAAGATCTTCATGTTCCCTTTGGGTTTATCCTCAGAGTGGGAATGTTAGTCAAATTTACAGATTCATATAAAGAAAATAGCATGTGAAAGATATATTATATAAGTCAAGTGAAAGACATAAAAGGAGGGCTATAAGTTAGGATTTAGAATTGAGATGAGCTGGGCCTATAAGTTATAGGAGTTTGAGGCCTAGAAGGAGGGCTAGAGAATCAGAAGTGAGAGAAGAGCATTTTCTTCATCCAAGGAATAAAACCAGCCAAGCATTGGTTAAAGTCTTGAAGGTGGAGAACAGTTGTATATATTTGTGACTCTATCTTTTTTATTATGTGATTTCGACACATAATAAAATAGATAAATCTGTTATATCATCAATTGTATACATTTATGAGTCTATCTCTCTCATCAGGTGACTTCAACCTTTAAAGAGAGAGATAAATTCATAAATATATAAGACTAGTGACACCAAGACGTCCAAATATGCCCTACCATCAGTCATAAATGTTCATGAATCTATCTCTTTTATCACGTGACTTCAACACGTAATAAGAAAGATAAATTTACTCTATCACTAAGTCTATACATCCATGAATCTATATCTCTAATCACGTAACTTCAATATTTATTTATTGAGAAATTTATGATTATATAAGACCACTGACAACAAGCTTGTTGTGGGCAATCCTTCCTTTTTATGGAGAGGCTAAAACCCATTACCCACAATATTTATAACATAAATAGGAGAAGCTACATATATGGTGAATTCCAGTTTGTCTTATGCCTATCAACTGACAATCATAGTGGTGCCTACAACATTGGCTTAAAGCTTCAAATTAGGCAACTGATGCAGGAGTATCAAATGAGCTGGCACAATAAAGACCCAAGACAAATGTTTAAAAGTCAAATAATCTTATCTTCTCACTTAGAATTATTATTGTTGATACTCAAAAATGGAAGACTACTTGTGGATTCAACTTAGAGATGTGATGTTATTTTCGACCTTTAGGACTCTTGGGCAGACAAGGATTATCAGCAAGACAAAGAGCAACGGCAAGACCTTGGGCACCGGTGTGGTGCCGATTGAAGGCTCTCCGATGCTTAAGTTAGCTTAAAGACAGAGTAAATAGTAATTTGGACACAATAAGGGCTAAGTAGCCGAATGTAACTGTTACCTCGCTTTTGGGGACTTGTGCCTCTATTTATAGATTCTTGGGAGGTGTGCACTTCGAGTTGTATTTTGATACCTGAGGGGCTACCACGTGTCCGTGTAAGAGATAGCTTGCGAGACGCCTTCTTTAACCGAATTGGCAGGTAGGTTGCCGAAGGCTTTCCTACTATCAATGGTTGTTTATGGACCTCAATGTTTTTACTAGGCAATGTGGGCTCCCTTTATGGGTCCTATGTTCCACACAATTGTTTTTACATTCTCAATTAAGGGTGTCTTTGATCCTAGTCATATTTGTAACAACCTAATCTCAAGTCATATCATTATTAGTTTGGATGATTTGAATGCGATTTGAACTTGAAACTTCTTCTAATATTGATTACTAACTTGGAGTGTAGAGCGTAACGCCTTGAGTAGAGTTTAAAAAATCGGAAGTATACGGTAAGCCATGTATGTCCTCAACTGCAAAAGGACCAATTGGAAATTTAGGAATAGTTTTGAATGCTAAAGGACAAGACACGTTGGGGTCAATTCATGAATAAAGATAAATAGGCAATGTCGTTTTTACCCTACTAGATTACAATACCATTAAGGCCATTATTGATTTTTCGCATCTCATTTGTGTTTTTTTGGTTAAAACATTTCATTTGTGCTTTTTTTTTTTTGTCTGAACCATGAGGTGGTCCTGGATAGGCCCCAACTATGGGTGGCACCTTTAAGCCTTAACCACAACCCAGACTAATCCCCACTCACACCGGGTCGGCCCGTAAGGGGTAAAGTGTTGGCCAAAGTGGTGACTCCGTACGAGAACAGGAATCGAACCCCTAACCTCTCTTAAGGAATGAGAGTGCCGAACCACTCACACCAACCACCTTGGTTAAACATTTCATTTGTGCTTTTCAGTCGCTCAATTTTACAAGATCTTGATATTTTAATTTTTCACGTTTGGAATATATATGTATTTTTTGTTTACAAACATTCATTAATGATCTAGAAAGACAAATTTCACAACAATCACCCTTAGACTATACACATTTAAATTTCATCACTCATTTGCATTGATATAATTAACTATAAGCACACACACTCACATTTGCATTGATATATATATACAGAAATTCTCTTATGCGGACATCCGGACGTTATTATCGTGCGGACGCTGTGTATTTTGTACTACCCCTTTCTGTTTTCCTGCATGTTTACAATAGGATCCGCACGATAATAATGTGCGGACATCCGGATAAGATATATATATATATATATATTCTTACAAACAATCATAAAACAATATGTAAAGACAAATTTGACAGCACACAAATTATAGGGTTATTTTCAAATTCATATCCACTTTTGGGGACATTTACAAGTACGTACTCAAACTTGCGGAAAATCCAAAATTTACCCCCTCCGTTGACCAAACTGTTAATAAAAACATTAAGTGCCAATGTGACATTTGCGGGACTTATGTTTTAATTGACGTAGACTACACATAAGAAATAAAATAAATAAATAAATAAACAATAAAAAAACTTAAAAACCGGAAGAAAAAAAAAACCCATCTTTACCGCAGCCCTACCCTCTTCTTCCCTAGAGAAAAAAGAAGTAAAGATAGCCCCCCACCCCCTCCACCACTCTCTCCGATATCACCCATCCCTTCCAGCCCAACCTCCAACCCACCCTTCCCACATCATTGTCCTTCACGAAAAAACTGGTGCCATTCTCGCCGATCGATTTCTGAGGGGGCGCAATCGTCTCTCTCTCTCTCTCTCTCAACGTGCAGAGCCTCTCTCCTTTGTCTCTTATCCTTGCCGCAAGCCAAAGAGAAGAGGAAATTAAATTGGGGGGTCGAGTGATTTAGGTTTTAATCCCTTGAGTATTCTTGATCAAGAAGGAAACAAAGAGATAAATCATATCCTTTCTTTATGATGAGTCCAGCAGCAATTGGAATTCAAAAATCCTTTCTTTATATGGAGTCCAGCAACCTTGCTTTTCCCTTCTCTTTGCAGAATACTCTCCCCTCTGTCGAAAGGCCCACAAGACCGAAGACATAATCTCTTCTAAGTTGAGCACGAAATTCTTGCACCGATTCCAGATTGCCCTTCTACGCCATATTTCCTTTCTTGTCACAATTAGAGCAGCTGCAAAGTTTGTATTTGTATTGTGAACAACATGAACCACCCCAATAAAGAGAAGAAAAAAAAAATCATACCATGTGAGGGAATGGTGAATGGATGTTATTGTTTCATCAACCATAAGCACCCTAGCAGTAGAAAATATAAAAGGTTGAGTTACTTCCACTATTTGCTGTTCATATGGCAAAAATAAAATGCTTAACTTCCACATGCAAAGAGATCAAACATGCGAGAATTCAATACCTCAGCACCTCAAGTGTTAAGCTTTAACAGGATTTCATCTGTGAAGTAATGCATGGACAACTTCCAGGTTTTAGCCGTTGAAGATATAATGTTCAAATCTGTGAATATATCTATATTCCCAGATAGAATATGCAGAAATTTGTCTTCTATGTTGCAAATTGCAATCCTACTTCCCCATGCCCCGAAGCATGAAAAATATTCCGACATAAACAAATTCTTTTTAACAGAATAATAAAATACCATTTTACAGCAATGGCTGAGAAGAACTGGGAATGGAGGGGTAAGGTGACAGAGAAAGTCAAACGAGCTTAGATTCTAGTTCTAGCCTACTGACTAGAAAGTGACGGGGGTCATTTATGTCATGTCAATGTCTCACATATTTTTGTGAAAAAAAGAAAAAGAAAAGAAGGGCAAAATAAAATTATAATTATAAAAAATTAAATTAAAAAAACACAATAAAGTCATCTCACGTGACATGCGCGTGCAGTGGGAAATCATATCCATTTTGGTCTAATCCATATTTGGGCTCACAGATCTCTGGTGTGGGCCCTTTGAGATGAATCTAATTGGTTGCTTCTTCTTTTTAATTTCTTTTGGGAAAGGCCCAATCCAATAGGTTTACTTCAAAGTTTTGGGTTAGCATAATAAAATATCCCCAAATATTTTATTTTATTTTAAATCAAAAGTTAAACTTCAAATCAAAGACTCTGTTCCTTCTCCCAATTGGGGGCTTTATAAGACCCCAAGTCCCAAGCCATGATGGTAATCAAGAAAGGCACATTTGTTTATTATAAACTATAATTGCTCTGTTAAAAGTTTACAGTGTTAGGTTTAGTCAAATAATCAACTTCTTATTGACAATTTTACCCTTCAGAACCGTTGCAACATGTTTTTAAATAATATATTTCCATGAATTTTAAAAAATATAAAGTTGGATAAGCATAACAGCTACTTCTGTACATAATTAATTCATGTGTAAGTGAGTAAGTAATCTTCCAGAAGTAGTTTAGACAGGAGAAACAGAAGAGAAACCCTAGTTTGTTATTTGGGAGACTACACATCTATTTGCACCAATTTTGCCTCATCAAGTTCAAGAGGAGATAGGCAACCAAACAAATATGACTAATTTGTATTGAAATTTAAAGGGTGTCATGGTGTTTGAAGTGTTGTTCATGGAAAATTTATTGTATGTCAACGTTAACTTGAACTTCAACGACATCCACTTCGAAGAAATCTGTAATGATTTCTCGCTTTGGATTACATCAATTATTGAAATATCTTTATCTTGATAATTCTTTATGAAATTCTTGAGATACGGACATAAATTTACTCATATTTGGTAATGCATCTATATCTATAGTGGTTCCTCTTTTTCTTTTTTTCTTTTTTGTGGTAACATAGTGGTTCCTCTTTTTGAATTACATCAATCATTGAAATCCTTATCTTGATAGCTCTACATCAAATTCTTGAGATATGGAGATAAATTTACTCAGATTCTGTAATCCATCTTTTGGATTGTAGAGTGACAAAGATTTATCACAAGGAGAACTATTGAGAGATATATATATATACATTTACTAAAATTTGGAAATCCATGTTTTAAATTATTGGTTGACCAAAATTTATAACAAGAATAATTCTCGAGATACGGATATAATTTTTCTTAAATTCGGCAATCCATCTTTTGGATTATAGAGACAAAACTTATCACAAGGATTCTTCAAAATCTTAATTTGATGGCTTAAAACCACATGTGACATCATCAACAAATTTGTTTCGCTAGAACAAATTAATATTAATTTTCACAAAAAGGATGAAGATACATACATGCAAACATTAACTTAAAGAAAATTTATATAGATTTATGAGGTAAAAGTTTGGCTATTACGTACAAGGTAGTCTTATTTACATATGTTTTTGGTTTAAAAAATAATGTATTTACACTAATGCATTCATTGGAGTGTTCACGGAGCGATGTGAGAAGCACAAATGATGCTCACCGTATTAGATAATATGTTTTTTAATGGGGTACAATTCACATGCTTGTTTCATTTATAAGAAAAAAAAAATTCATGAATTATTTCATCCAAAAAAATAAACGTCTACGCATTTAGAGTCTCGTTTACCCTCTATTCTAATAATGAAATTACTTTATGTAAAAGGTCAAATTTCCACCCATGGTATGTTTAATTTTCTTTGAATTTGAGAGGCCTAACAATGCTGACTTTGATTTATGACATTTAAATTAATTATTTTTCTTTTCTTATTTTCTCAAATATATCATTCAAGAATGTGTGTGCAATGCAAATGCATAGGCATATTCATTATAAAAAAAAATTATGTTATTGTTTTCCAAGTATACATTCTAAAATGGTTTGTAAAGCAAGAGTTAAGGCATTATTTTTAGCAACAAAATATTACCTTATCCATATAAATAGAAGTTTGATCCAATCACCTAACCTAGACAAAATGGTTGAAAATTGTTTACCAAAAAGAAGGACAAATTGTTTTCTTACTATAAAAGTAATTAATTGAAATGATAAGAACTCCAAAAAAATGTGGGGGTGTTACAGCTACAACAAAGCTTTTCATCTGGTAAAGCAAGCATCTGGTGTGTTGTTCATTTCTACCAAAAGATAAAAAATGGGAATGGAAGATAGTTTATTGACAAAGTAATCAAGGTTTTTAATGCTTAATTAATGAAAACAAGAATATATTTTAGTCTCTGGAGCTAAGTTTTATGGACCTCCAATTTGTCTGTCAGTTGCTAAGCATGCAATGACAGGCTATTACAGTCTCTGTCTTCCCTGAAAATTAAATATTTTAAGATTTCATTTCAAACAGGATTTGCCTAAAGACATGAGGACAGTTTGGTAACTGAACCTTAGGGCAAGCTAGATTTGCAGTTCCCTCCTGTTTTAGTGTTGGGTTGACTCTCTCTCTCTCTATCTCTCTACATGTTTTCCACTTTACTTTTGTTGGCTTAATCAATTTGTTTTCTTAACCAGCTATAAATGCCCCATCTCTGTTCACCTCAGTTTTGCTTTTTCTTTACTGTTTCTCTCTCTCTCTCTCTTTCTCTGGTTTCCTCCATTGCAAACCAAGCCAAGCTTCCTTTCCAGCTTGCTTTGGAGGCCCCTCTCCTTCACACAGACAAAACACCCACCAACCATTTTACCCACCTTTTCTTTTGTGCTCCTCTAAAATCCACCCCATATTTTATATATATAAATTCACGCCTTCCTTTCCTTTCTCTCTCCCCTTCCCCCACATTTTCATTTTCTCTCCCCTTCTCTTGAAAGATTAGATTTTTGTCTGGCTTGCCTCTCCTTCTTTTTTCTTTTCTTCTTAATTTATTTTTCTGCTTCTCTGAATTCTTTTTGGCCCACTTGAGGACACATCCTCCTCTACTTGTAAACTACTCCTCTGGAAACCTTGCCTTTTTGGACATCTGGGTTTTGTTGGGTTCGAGTTATTTCAGGTCTGCATTGGCCTATCTATGCTTATTGAGTCTGTCTTGGTTCAAAAAGAAGCCCCTTCTTTTCTTCTCTGGGTTCTCAAGGAAGAAGATCAAGGGGGCTAGCTTAGATCGCTACAAAGGTAAATGCTTTCTTCTTTGAAACACTTTTTACACAGACTCACTCACATTTCTCTTTATTGGTCTCTTGCTTGGTTCATAAGTGATGCTGTTTGAGGTTTTCCCTTTCTCTTTTATGAAGACTTGGAATTTAATTTGTATATGTTGGTGGTTCATGGGCATGTGCTTGCTTTATACATGGAATCTGAAATTTACAGTGTTGCCGGCGTTTTATCTGGTATTCACTCACTGTTTGCTTGTGAAACCATTAATGCCAGTGTTATCAAGCTTCTTAAACTTTTAAAAATAATAAAGCATCAATCTTCTCAGTTATTGTATCAGATTCTACTTTCTTTTGGGCACCTTTGGTTCTTCTTTAATATGATTAATATTTGAAGACAGTTAAGAATCTAGTATTTTCAGATTGAATTTAGCAGGATTATCTATTTATCATTATGGCATTTGAGTGTTACATAGGAATAGGATGCGATGGATTAGCTAAATACAAATTAACTAATCTGCAGTTTTTTTCAGCAAAATCACATCTTAGAAATTAGAAATCTCAGATATCTGTGACCCTTTTCACGTGCTTTGAGTTACATGATTTGTTTCTCATGTCCAGGTTGGAATGCCTTAATTTTTTTTTCTGGCACTGAAAGTTAGAACACCAAGCCAAGTTCAATATATAGCATCCAGAGGATAAGAATGTCATCCGGAAGTTCTTTGAATGCGGAATTATCGAAGAAGATAGGATTTTTGGGTTTAAAACTATGGGTTGTAATTGGTATATGTGTTGGCGCATTTATTGTTTCAATCCTATGTTTCTTATCTATATGGGTTACATTTCGGAGGAAATCTCGAAGATCACTGGACAAGTTCCCAGTCACCCAAATACCAAATGTCTCTAAAGATATCAATGTTGATAAGGTTGGGGCTCAGAGTACCCACGATCACCCTGATAATTTATTTCTTTCAGTACATGAGAAAGCAAGTGATAAGAATTCAGAGAAGATGTTAGTTCATTTAGGCACGAGCAAATCAAGTGATCCTGATAACATGAGTCAGTGCAGCTCAATTTATCATCATGAGAGGGCATGTAGTTCACAGTCAGGGGAAGAAGGAAGCTCTGGGAATGTGCGAAAGCAGTCGTCATTGCCATATGGAGGGCTTGTAACAGCCTCTCCTTTAATTGGCTTGCCAGAAGTTTCTCATCTTGGGTGGGGCCACTGGTTTACTCTTAGGGATCTGCAGTTTGCTACAAATCGTTTTTCTGCAGAAAATGTGCTTGGAGAGGGTGGTTATGGGGTTGTTTACAAGGGCAGGCTGATCAATGGAACTGATGTGGCAGTGAAAAAGCTCTTAAATAATTTGTAAGGATATAAACTCAAATGCACCATCTTTGTTATCACCGTGCTTTCAGGAAACCTATAAATTTCTTTTTCTTTTCTAATAGTTGCTTTTTTGATCTGGTATACAGGGGGCAGGCGGAGAAAGAATTTAGGGTTGAAGTAGAGGCCATAGGTCATGTTCGGCATAAAAATCTTGTGCGGCTCTTGGGCTACTGCATAGAAGGGGTTCACAGGTATTATTAACCTTTTATTTTAATATTAAATTACTTATATTTTCCTAATGACTTGGGCGTGTCTACTAAAATAATATTTTCACATTAGGAGGGCTTCTGTCTAATGTTCCCCTCTCTTGCTGCCTAGTGTATGGCTTCACATTTGTGTTTTGGGTTCAGTTTTTGTTGTTCTTGCTAAGTTGCTATCTGTTGCAATTTGCACAGGATGCTGGTATATGAATATGTGAACAATGGCAACCTAGAACAATGGCTACATGGGGCCATGCGCCAACATGGCACCCTTACTTGGGAGGCCCGCATGAAGGTGATTCTTGGTACTGCTAAAGCGTAAGTTGTTATCTTTCACTGAAATGTGTTTTATATGATAGTTTTCTTATTTAATTTTTGGATCCCAACCAATGGACAAATGACTTACATATGAATTGCAGGCTTTCTTATCTACATGAAGCTATAGAACCAAAAGTTGTCCACAGAGATATAAAATCAAGCAACATTTTGATTGATGATGAGTTCAATGCCAAGGTTTCTGATTTTGGATTGGCCAAACTCTTGGGTTCAGGTGAAAGTCACATCACAACTAGAGTGATGGGGACTTTTGGGTATGTAAATTCTTATATTTTTAACCTATTATAATTTCTCTACAAAGTATCTTCTGATTGGACCATAAATTTCGGTTCATCATGCAGTTATGTGGCACCAGAATATGCTAATACTGGCTTGTTAAATGAGAAGAGCGACATCTACAGCTTTGGTGTCCTCCTGCTTGAAGCAGTTACGGGAAGGGACCCTGTGGACTATGGCCGACCTGCTAATGAGGTTCAAAATTTCAAAACATTGTTTACTATTTTTGATAGTGTCTTCCTTCAGCAGTCATCCCTCTCTTTCTCATTCTCATCCGCATGATGCAGGGTTCTTACTGGTTATCAAAAGCTTTATTATTATGTACAGATTTTTGAGAAGCATTTCTTAATACTCATGGCAGGTCAATCTAGTGGAGTGGCTAAAATTGATGGTAGGTGCAAGAAGATCAGAGGATGTTGTGGATCCAAACCTTGAAGTTAAACCCAGTACACGTGCCTTAAAACGTGCCCTTTTGGTTGCACTTAGGTGTGTTGATCATGATGCAGAGAACAGACCCAAAATGAGCCAGGTTGTACGTATGCTTGAAGCTGATGAATACCCATTTCGCGAGGTTCTAATCTTCATCTTACCCTGGAAATAAGTTTTGTTGCTTTATTTTATTCCGTCCGTTTTCATGAAACAATAAGACTACTTATCTAAATGTGGAGTAGGTGCAATTTCCTTTAGGAATTTGTGTTTGATCTTTAGAAGATGTTGCAGAGAAATGGCCTTATATAGTGGAGTGATGAACTACAGACCCCAATTAGTTGGGACTAATGTTGCATAGCTTTGGTATTCTTCCTTTGAATTGTTCTGGATTTGTGAGTTGACTAATTTAGTACCACGAATGGCTTTACTTTACTTAGTCGAAATAATTGTCAGTTTTAGTCTTTTAAACTGACAAAACTCCTTTCCTAGCTAACTTCGCTATTGCCTCATGTCCCTCTGTTTTCTTTCCCATTTTGCTAGATGTAGTGACCAAATTGTCCTGCTATTTGTTACCATGCTCATCAAAATTTGGGTGATCTTATGAATCTTATTTTGAACTTGTACACTTCAGGATCGAAGGAACAGAAAGAGTCGTACGACCAGCATGGATATTGAATCTGTGAAGGAAAACTCTATCTCAGCTGACATAGGAAACAAGCCAGGGGATCTGGAGAGTCAAATATCTGAGACAACTCATGCATAGGACTGACAAACGCATGATCTTGATGAATGATTCCTTCCTCACCTGCCAGAGTAGGTTTCAGTAGCCCATCAGTATACATCCAAAGTTTATTTTTTTTAAAATTCTAAATTTAAGAGAGGATTTCGATTGGAGATAGCCCATTTTGATCATGAAGCATTGGATCCTGATCCTTGAAGAATTAATAGAGTGCTCCCAACTCCATAGGCTCTTTTGTACATATGTTTCTTGGGGATCAGTGGGGCTGTCTATTTCATACTTATTGTAATTTCTTCCCTTTGTATTATCAGTTGATTACTGTTCTTCAGATGGTGAACAACTCCAATTACTTTATTTATTTTTTCATTAATTTTATTTTTAAGTCATCTCATCTTCTGTCAGAAAACAAAGCATTGAATTAATGATGATGAATGATGATGGTAATCTTTTTCTCTTTATGCAGTTGTATGTCTTGCTATTTGTTACAGTAGAATGATGGCAGCCCCATTTTGTTGCTTTTTTGAATTCTCTTTACATGCACTAGGTGACAGCTTCAGTTTTAACCTATAATGCCTTGTCTCCTAAAGTGTGTTTTGCAACCAGGTTCAGGTTTTGATGAACTATAATGAAGTTAGCATGTCTTGTGGTAGGATTGATTTATAAATTGTTAGACCTGCATTTTAACAGAAATCTTACAAAATACAGATACCCAATATGGGAATTGATATTTGCATTTTGAAAAGGAAAATACTTCCCTCCTTACCATGTAAGTAGGAGCTCCTATATTCTTGCCAATGACAATGTGACATATGCGCACAAGTTTTTTTGTGTGTTTTTGATAAATTATTTTTTCATGTGTCGATTCGTAGGAAGTAGTATCTCCTTAGAAGGAAGGAAAGAGGCAAGTAGTATCCTGTTGAAAATAATTTCCCTCTCACTCTAGCTTCTCCTTGCACACTCTCACTCAAGAATGGCCCTAATAAACTTACAATGTGGTCCTATTTGCGTTGTACTGTTCTTAACAGATCAGAAAAGCTACTTCAATTTAATGGCAAAATGAGTTGACAACAGAAAGAAGCAATAGATGTATCAGTTTCATCTTTATGCATTGATGAAAGAAAGAAGCCATTCAATGTTTTGGGATGGCAATATTTCAGTCAAATGAGTCATTAATATATATTGATGGGTGGTATGAAAAATGCAATGCATTATTGTGTCAGCTTCAGCCTGACAAGAGTTAACAAGTCCTTTTGCTGTGGACCGTTTTCCTCCTACAATCAGTTTTTCTTTGTGTTTCCAAGAACTCTCAGACAAACAGAGGCTTGTGAATATATCATGATCATACACGGAATGGGTTGCCTTGCCTGCTATATTTGAATTCTGAGTTGTCTAGCTTTTTTGACTTTCGGGTCCAACGGTCATCTTTTGGATATTTTCTGCTGAGCCCAATTTTGATTTTTTGTGGTTGGAAGCTTTGAATGGCAACAATAATTTTTTGTTTTGGTCGGTATTGGACAGCACAGACGTACATGACCAAGGGAGCTGAGCTCAATTATGCACCCTAAATTCTAACTGAGCTCCTCAATTTGTACACGTTTTATTTCCTTTTTCTGTGGTGGTAAATTAGTCAAGACTTGAAAAGAAATCAGACCCGCATTTGACCCATGCAAGATATTGTTGGACTTGCATCAGATATTGTAACGTGCACTAGAACCAATATAAATATGTATTCAATTAGATTAGAGTTTGCGTGGTTAGTCCGTCTCCTTACACTCAAGATCGAATCCCGCTTCTCGATTTAGAGTTGTGTTTGCTTGTATAAAAGAAATATAGATTAGAGTATATGCTATGTAAATACAGTCAAATTAACATATGAGTCAAGTGCATTTTGGCTCTGATGGTAAAGTGGAGCGACAAAACATTTGGGAGCTTGTGTGGAAAGGACCACCAACAAGAAGAAGACCATCATCCCCTTTAGATTATTAATGGGTTTTGGGCGCACCCAACCCAACTCACAGACAAAATAAAATTAATATTTGCTTCTCTTCTCAGCCTCAGGTAGGTAGGGAAACAAATATGTGGGCCGCACGTGACTTTATTTAAGACACTTATATCAACAACAGACTGGCAAATGGTGGTGGGCTGGATAAATGTCCCCATTGCAACCGGCAAAAACAAGATTGGGCCATTTGAAGCCAATCCAGTGCTGTAATCCAGCCCAAACAAATGGGATAATAATTTATTAATTTTCTTAGTTACATACGTTTGGTGTTACAAAAGCTTAGTGCTTCACCACCACCAATATATGGAGAATTATAGAATCCTACGGCTGTATACTTTCCCCATTTAGGAAATAGTATTAATAAATATCCACTTATATATATTACGTGAACAATACTATCCTACTACACTATAATTACTCCAATATATAAGTTGCCTACATTTTAAGTCTAAGTGAGGACTAGAAAATTTAGCTGCCGTTCGGTAATATTTTGGGGTTGCGTTTTCTGTTTGCGGGAACAAAAACATCCCAGAAATAGGTTCGACAATGAGTTTTCCAAAACACAGAAAATGATTGTTGAAGAAAAATGTGAACCTCCCAACATAATTTCACCACCACTGTTGGCACCAAAACTAAACAGATAGAGATGAGTGCAACTTACAAGTGATGTGGACGATCTAGAGATCGATTGAGTGCTTGACGCAGATCCTTCCTGTTCTTGGATGCTGATCCTGAATAGAAGGAAGCCGAGGCTCGTGAGGTCTATGGAACCGGTGTGGAACCAGCCTAAGACCCTCCGATGCCGAAGTAAGTTTGTTTCTAAGAGCTTTTACTACTGGCAACGTATTTAGCATAAAAGTCAAGCTGAAAAGTCTTACCCCTTGTATTGTAGTGAATGGGCCTATTTATAGAGGGCATTTGGTATGCTCTTAGTACTCAATTTCGATGTGGGACTCGTGGGAGGGCCCTACGAGGTTGACACGAGTCTTTGGATATTTTGGGCGTGGCCTTCGAGGTTTGCTTCGGAGAATCGGTAGACGATACTGATTGTAGACTCCGCTAGGCATCATCGGTAGCCTATACCGATTGTTCACTGTCTTGGGCAATTGGGGGTTTTACTGATCCACGTGTCGAAGTATGAGTGGAGGGTCAGATATGGTACAAACAACCACTATTTAAATAATGAGGTTTTATCATTTTAGGTTCGACCCATTCCAGACGCGGTGTCTCTTAATTACAATCCTTTATTTCAAGGGAACATCATTGATTCCATCATAAAAAACACAAAACGTGCGTGTTTTGTTTTGTGGCTGCTCCCAAGTCCAACATCAGAGTGCTTACGTATCCCTTGCGGGAATCAAGCCACTTGTAGTTCAAAGAATTGCAATAAATAAATGACTCATTGCAAGGAAAATTTGATTTGAATTATATTGAGGAGTGTATGAGTGAATTTAGCTGAATAAACCAGGGATTCAATATGGAATTGTGTTTGGGGCGAATTTGGTTAAGAATAAATCAGGATTTGTTTGGATTTAAGATTTGGGCGGTTGTATGTAGATTGAGTCTCTAGATTGCCAATGTACCATTTCGAAGGAATCAAATCAACGTAGTTCGAAAATGCAATGAGTGAATGACTCATTCCTCTTGGAAAAAGTGTTTGGGGGAATTTGGTTAAGAGAACCATAGATTCAAATTTGGTTGCGGTTGCGTCTAGTGGGATGCTAGACTGCCTACGTACCAATGACAGGATCAAACCAACGTAAGTGTGGCCTACTAATTTAGAATTTGTGTCTTTGACTCATTTGGAGATTTTCATAGGTAAATGACCCATGGAAAAAAATTGGATGGTTTTGTACCTTTTTTTTTTTATTGCCAATGTCCAAGAAAAACAAAGAGCAATTTTGATGAACCCACTAATTTCCTATAATTGAAATCTGCATTTGGACCCAACTATGGCTTTAAAGATTTTAAAATTATTTGGGCCTCTGTAAATTTAATGAGTGTTTATTTGGATAACTTATTAAATATTTTGGGCCTTTGAGAACTAATAGGCAGACAACCCAATAATCTGTTTTTGGGCCTTGACATTTTTTATCAGTTGGCCCATGACTAGTCATCAGTGTAAAGCTCATCCCTTCGAGCTACACCAATCACAATTGAATTAGGACTTCAGGTGTTGAAGCCGTGAAGGAATTGTAGTGTTGATTGACTTAAGAAACAATTACTCCACGACCAAGAATCCGCAGACCAATTTTCCTTTGCTTCTGTGTCAGACCTTCTTAGAGAGCCATCTTTGTTTTCAGAACAAAAGTTATGCATGACCTTTCTCTTTGTCAGGCCACACATCCAAGAGTTTCATAGAATAGCATTTTTTTTCCCTTCAGTCAAAGTAGACAACAACTTTAATTGAAAACCAGCCTAGGGACCCAAAGAGGCGCATGCCTCTTCTTTTTCTTTCTTTTTGCTGACTTCCTTTTTTTTTTTCTCTCTTTTTTTAATCTGTATGCAAACAAACATAACACAAAGCCATCTTCCAAACAGGGTTGTATATAGGCAACTTTTCCTTTGTTTTGTCTGTATGCACGCAAACACAATATGAGGAATTCAAACTTTCCTTCTTCTTTTTTATTTGATGACTTCTCCTCTTCTTCTTGCTCTGTCTATATGCAAACACAACACAAAGCAATCTTCCCAACACCATATTTTCTTCTTTGTTATTTGCAAAACTAATTTCCTCTTTTTTTCTTTGCTTTCAATGCAGCATACTCAAACTGAGAAGAGAAGGCTTTGTGCAATTTTCTCAAACAGGGAAGAAATTGGTGTGTGTTCTTAACAGAGAGGGAGAGAGTTGGTTAGAGAGTTTCAAGAGGTATAAACCCATTTTACATTTTCCGTGAGATTAAACTCCTATTGTTTTCATTTATGTCATCAACTCCTTTACTGCAACTTCTGGTGGAGAACTAACTTCCCATTTTTATTTGAAGCTACAGAGAAGGAATTGGTGTGATTTTCTCAACCAAGGGTAGAGCACGTTCCTTTTTTTTTGCACATTTTGGAATTAACTCCCATAACATTATTTGTTTGTTCTCCTATGGATTTCCTTTTGCTCAACACAGCTTTATTGAACGGGAATCATCCCACGAATTTGCTATCCATATATGTGGTTTAAGGGTTGCCACCCAACATGGATTTATCATCCAAGAATTTGATTTAAAGGTTGCCACCCAACATGGATTTATCATCCAAGAAATTGATTCAAGGGTTGCCACCCACGATGGTTTATCATCCAAGAATCTGACACAAGGGTTGCCACCACACAGAAATTAATGGTGATGACAGTATACCTGTGACAATTTCTTTTGTCTCTG